GGGGGGCGATTATATCGTGCATCCCTATACAAAACTAAAGGGATAAACGCAAATTTGACATCTTGCGTATGCTGGTCTGACTGGGTATGCTCATCTGACAGAAACCCGGCCTGTTGTGGTGAAGAGAGACGTGAACAAAACGAACACACTTGATTTACCGATTGGTCTATTTTCCAACCATCACTAAGGTCCAGAAATGGAAATCATGAGCAAAACACAGAGATCCTGATGGTGGCTGGGAACGCTCTGATCAGAGACACTGCTCCTCCGCATGGAGAGGAATCAGCTGAAGAAACCTGACCATCGGTTCAGAAGCCCTATGGAGACGTCAACCAGGAAGTCAACATATAAAAGGACTCAGAGGACGGAGCAGGACATGACGGTGGGACCATGCACCTCTGCTGGGACCCGGAATGCTTCACGCTTCGCTGCCTGCTTCCATATAAGGCGGCTGACGAACAACTGAGCTTAAAAAGTACGTCTCAGGTTCACAAAAGTGAGAAGCAGCAGCATCTGATTTAAAATGTTGATGCAAAAAAGAAAAGAAAAAGAAACTGATATATGGTACACATACTAAATTACTAAAGTGCAGTTAAACAACATTTAAACAACAGTTAAATTTGATTTAAATATCATAAATAGTAAGAAAAGTTTACTTTTTGTCTTTAAAATCAATATGACAAAGTTCTACCATTTTAAATAAAAAAAAAAACATAGTTTTAAAACAAGAATCCTGTAAAATTACGCACTTTTTCTTGAGAAATTCTGTTGGAATGGTTCAGTTTTCATCTAATAATTTAGTAATTTTTGCTCCTTCTTACAAAAAAGACTAAATTAGGAATAAAAAGGAAAATCAGTTAATATTAAACGGATATTTTTGAAATAATGGTTGCAGAACTCCGGGGAAACAAAATACTAAAAAAGAAAGCTGTGATTTGTAAGAAGGAAAGTGGGAATATTTCAGGTTTTAATGGCGCTGATAAAAGTGATCAGTTTGATTTAGCAGAATGTGATTTTAAAAAATGCTTCACATCGATTTCACTAATCGCTTTCTGGCAATAATTGCAATGAATGAATCAAAGCGTCGCTCTGGTGAAGATCTGCTCATGTTTCAATGCTGCGGGTGGCTCCAAATCTTCTGAGCTGCGATCAAAGTATCGTGCAGATGGAAAAGAGATCCATCTGCAAGGTTTCATGGACCAGAACTTCCCCGCTGCATGAAAAGTGGGTTTGGTTAATAGAGCTGTGAGGGAAAAGCCAGGCATGCTGGAGCAAAGAGACGGAAAATATGAGAAAAACAACAGCGTGAGATGAAGCGCAGCAGAAACAAGCAATACGATGATGGAAAGATGGCAGGAAACTGATCAATTCAACATGTAAAACCACTGCTGTCAGAATAAAGGCTGCATCTCTGAGGAAACTGTTGACGTCTCTGAATGGATCATTTCATTTTGATAAATAATCTTCAGATTTGATTTTATCCTTCAGTCGTGAGCAGCTTTTATTCCCAAAGCAGAAAAAAAACACATAAATGAGGTGAAAAAGAAGTCATAAAACATGGAAGAATGTGCAGCTGGAGCAGCTTCATGTGGTTTGCTGAAATCTGCCCTGCTTTATGTCATCGCTAACCATTAATGGCACATTTTAATTAACCCTAATCACTGTCATCTGCTCTGGGATCCTGTTAGGATTTAGTTTGAAAGTGAAAATGTTAAAATATAATTTGGACAGAAAGAGGTTTGAATATTGCTCTTGTTTTGTAGATAATAACCTTATAAGAATGTTTTACGTTAAAGGTGTTTTGGTTTTTATTAAAATGAGTCGGTTTCAACGTGAGCTGCAGTTTTAACGAGGCAATTAGGAATAATCGCTGCTAAACTGTAGAAGTTTACGCTGCAGGATAGAAGAACTAAAATTAAAAACCTTAAAGTCTTTTGTTTTCTTCTCAGGTTGACATTAAATCAGAAAACTAAACCCTCCTCTCCGTTTGTCTTTAATCTCTATAATTTGGGTCAAAATTTCTTAGGTTTTCTTCCATGAGTTTCTCACTATAGTTTGCTGGTAGAGGTTTTTATTTCAACAATGTTTTTTTTAACCGTCAGAGAACATGAATGATCACTTTTAAAATATACCTAATTATCATTTTCTCTATATTATCTCCTCTTTCTTTCATCTTTTCTCCTTTCTCCTGTTTTTCCTTTCCTGTTCTACTTACATTGCAGTGTCCATATAATCTATAATACTCGCTGCATAAATATAATAAAGCTATTTGTGCAAAATCACGTGCATGAAAACATTGACGGCGCTGATGTCAACATGCACCTCAACATGGAAACCTGCCAGAGTGGAGGTTTACCTTCTGGCATGACAATCGGCCTGAACATCCAGGCAGAAATACTATGGAGGGTTTAAATCAAAGCAGATCTATTGGTTGGAATGGCCTAGTCAAAGTACAGAGGTGAATAAATTAAAAGCCTTGGGAGGGGCGGGGTTCCGGAGGTTCTAATGTTAGAAAAGTCTCTTGCATCATCTTTCTTCCAGCTCATCGTCACATAAAATCCCAATAAAATCCACTGAAGTTTGTTGTTTTAATGTAAGAAAGTTTCAGTGTATTCTCATTATGAGTTCATATGAAATCGTACGAAAAGTTATGCACCATAATTTCGTACGTTTTTGACGTTTTTTCCGTGGTATTTCGTCGTATTTTTACGTCTTGCCTCGAGACAAGATATCCTTGCGCATGCGCATCTTACGCACCATTCAATAACATAGAATTGAACATACAATTAACCCTAACCCTGACCCTAACCCTAAGATACAAAACATCAAGAAACGTAGTTAGAGACATGAAGAAGTAATTATTCCACTGTTTTTCCCAGTTTTACGTCCGTCCGCGGATCAGCTTTTTTCGTCTGTCTGCCTGCGCATGCGCACTGATCTGTTTTTTCGAGGAAAAACGTCAAAAACGTACGAAATACTGTGAATAACTTTTCGTACGATTTCATACAAACTGATAATGAGAATATGTTGAAAGTTTGTTGTTTTAATGTAAGAAAATGAGGAAAAATGTAAAAAGTATCGACTGTTAAGAGCTGAGATTTCATTTCATTTTATCCACCCAGAGCAGGTAAGCTAACATTACTGCAGTTTAAAACACTATAGAGAGTCACAGTTACTGCAGAATCACCATTATTACACAATCAGTAATAATAGTGAACAGAAGGTTTATTTATTTCTTTAGTTTATAAAGGGAAATAGGAAGAATTAAACCATTATTATAAACACCAGTAGATATCTTGTTTTTCTTTTCTACATTACTCCATTAAATATCATAAACTCAGTGTTATTTTTCCTGCCTAGTTAGAGTACAGAGGTCGGGTCCTAACAGTTTTGTCCACATAGTCTAAATATTAAGCGTTGTTTAATTGGAGCAATGCTTTGTTTATCAGTTTTCTCTCGCAGGCTTTTCCAGGAAATCTGGATAAATTCTGATTAATTCCTGATCTTGTTTGGTGATTTGTAGCTCCGTGTGTCCGCAGGGTTATAATTAATGAGAAAGGCGAGAGATTCTGCATGTTGAGGTTGTTTTTCTCTCCTTATAAAGTCCCACCCTTCAATTTATGCAACAGCTCGCCCCGACACACACGCTGGAAGAGTTAACCGATTTATTGTCAGGATACCTGAGAAGAAAGCTACGCTCTTTTATTGTGATGTTAAGGCTCACATTCTTTCACTTTATTTTAAACAATAAGTAGAGTTTGCCTCCAGTGATGTTTAGAAGTGTTCCTAATGGTGAGAGTAACATGACTTCTTTTCAGTCCTTTATGTTTTGAATAAACAAGAAAACACAGAGTAAAAGTGAAATGTTGAGGCGGGACGTACCGGTCCGGTGCAGAAACATCCAGAGTAAAACCAACAGGATGACGTGCCGGAGCCTCCACCTTCCACCTCCTTCAAGAAGCAAGAACCCCCTAAAGAAACAAGAACATCATCAGCCTAAAGTTTCAGCAGGAACATTTCATCAAAGGTCTAGAACCATCCGGAAATGTTTAGGACAGGGGCATCCCTTGTCTTTAGCCTTGCTCAGTAATTATTAGCTAATTCCACTGCATAATTGCAGCATATTTATTTAATGCTCGGAACTTCCATATCCTTCTTTTTTTTTCTTCCACAATGTTTACATTTGATCACTGCTGTACTGTAAGAAATAGAAATTCATTTTGCATACACTCTGTGTATACAAAATGACAATAAAAGTAGTTGAGTCTAAGGTCTAATTTTAGCTGATGTCTGCGATTTTTTTTTTTTAAATATGAAAGTCAGACTTTAAATACACTTTTGCTGCTTTATCCTGCAGCTCTCTGACATGCAGTCAGACTGCAGCAGTAACTCACTTTAACAACAGGGAGAAAAAAAAGACACATTTTACCTCTAAAAGTTTCTAACCAAACTAAACGCATGCTTTCTGACGCAGGAAAGCAAAAATTGGACAAATGTATCTAAAACAAATTGTTTACTTACATCAATAGTTAGTTAGCATTATGAAAAAATTGCAAAAGAAAAGCATTTGCTCTGGAGAAAAGATTTGTAAAGAAAAAGTAACTGTTTTTAAAAGTTGCATCATCATTATCACATCATGTGCATGTAACTGCAACAGATGCAGTGGGTGGGAGTAATAACAAAGGAGTGGAGTCACAAAGTGAGCGTGTGTCCTCACCAGGCTGCTTTCTACAACACGGAAACATCACAAATCTAATACATAAACCTAAAGAGGTTTACGTGGAACTAAATGTAGTGCCCCTTGGGTCACAAAATATACGAGGGAGTATTAGGGCCAGGCTAGAGAGCTTTATTTCCTTCTATTTTGAGAATAAAATCATAACATTACAAGAATAAAGTCGTAAAATTACAAGAAAAAAGTCGTAATATTATGAGGATGCAGTCATCATACAACAACCGTTTCAGAAAGCTTGGAGCTCCAACGATCAGATGATGGCCGACCAAGCTCCACCAATCAGTAACCAGAGTCCACTTTGACATTCTGCCCAGTTTGATGCTGCTGCTAAAAGATTTCCTGATTTGTCAAACCGATGCTAAAGTATAACTTCACATGATGCTCCACATTCCTCATTTTAGGGAAGAAAGGGCTTCTTGGAAGAGTTGTCATAAAATACAACTATTCTCGTAATTTTACGACTTTATTCTCTTAATATTAAGCCTTTATTCTTGTAATTTTATGACTACTGTTGTTGTATTTTTTTCTCCTAATGTTACGACTTTATTCTTGTAATGTTACAACTTACAACTAATGTTACGACTTTATTCTCCTAATTCGAATTCGGACCGAGCTTGGATCAGTTAACCATGCCGAGCTTAGTTCCTTACGACCGTTTATACACTACTCTAGCACGGTTCCTCGCCTCCTAGTGACGATCTGTGGTACTACTGCTCTCTACAGGCAAACAAGCAAATCAACATGGCTGTGCCCGTAACATTCAGGATGTTTGGTAATTAATTGTGTTATTTTATTGTTTGCGGAGTCAGGCGAAGCAGGCAACCTTTGGTGAATTTTATTTGACAGAGTCGGCTTTTGGGAAATGGATACAACAAACAATAGTCTAATCAGGGCTTCCAGACGCAGGAAACAACGACAGACGTTGTGGTTCATTACACTATTAACCCTTTATAGGGCACTCAGGGAAATACTTTGAACATAAAAAATTCAAGCAAAGGGTGTTATTGGAATGCAGGACAACCTTTGGAACAATAAAAAAATCTGTATATTTTGATGGCAAAAACTGATGTCGATGTAATAACAAGAAACTGCCACTTTCCCTAACATATATTAGGAAAAAATTGAATAGTGCTTCTATGAGAAATTCATGAAAACAACTTCAAGAGTGAAAGAAACACGAAAAGAAACTTGTTTTGTTCCATAATAACCTTAGAGGCGTTAATGCTGATACAAGCGCTAACATTTATTTCTTTAACATAGCTTGTTGACTGTTGCACTTTATTTTTTTAATTTTATTTAGCTTTTTAACTTTTTCGCTTAGCTTTATACCTTTTTTTTCTCAATTTCTTAGATGTTTTCAACTTAATTTATAATAAAGGTAATAAATGATTCAAGAGCTCATCTAATTGGTCAAATGCCAAATAATATGTACAGCCATGTAGCAGGATCTTTGCAGATTGGCTGGATATAAATCCAGCTCCATTTGTAAGGGGTGTGCAAGTAATCAAAAACAGTAACTAAGCAGAATCATCACTGGAAATCGGGTGGAATGGTAGGGAAGCTAGTATTTCTATGAATGACGGGGTTTGCTCATGCGCAGAACGGAACCGCGCCGAGCCTTACTGATCAACTGCTACCATGTTAGCACGGTTTGGTTCTGTCTGGCGCGACCGGTTCAGTTTTGCGTGCCATTTACACTCAACAGTTATCTTGGTTACCCTATTCGGACCGATCTCAGCACAGTTTCAAAGGGGTAGTGTAAATGGGTTGAATGGTTAAACATCAACAGACCATTTTCAAGAAGCATTCAACCGAATTGGATGGGTAAAAACAACTGTTTATGAAGATGGGTGCATTTCGTGTTAAATATTTGATGTGGTGTACCACAAGGATATATGTTAAGAACCAAACCCATTTATATCTATAATGTATCCTTTAATTACATATTTTAGGTTCTGGTAAGCATGTAAGACGGAGGTCTTCAACAGGGATCCGCGACCCCTTTTGGGTCCACGGAGGTACTGCATGGGGGTCAGGAAAGTTTTGGTCGATTTTTTCGACTAATTGAAATGTCTTTAAATCCACATTAAAATGAATTCAACACACTGTAGTAAACAGATAAATGGAGACAAAAGATGTCTTTCAGTCATTAATGCTCACATTCAGAGACACACAGGAGCTCTTTCAATCTGGGCACCATTTCATTCACAACACCTGTCCAATCAACCAGGAATCAGAATCAGAAATACTTTAATAATCCCAGGGTGGAATTACTTTCATTACATTACTCCATCTGTAATAGAGTGACTATAGGACCAGTTTAATATAACACTATTTCATACAATATATACAATTAGAGGGTCCCTGCTCCATTTTGCCATTAGTTTGGGGATCCCAAGCCTGGAAAATGTTAAAAACCTCTAATGTAAGAGATTAATATGAACAAAAATGGTTTGATATAAACAGGTGGTCTTTAAACTTGGATGAAGCAGGATATAGGAACCTAAATTTAGGTTTAGGTGTTGGCCTATGGGTTAGAACAGTGCACTTGTCCTCTGAGAAGGTTGCAAGTACATGATTTGAGCCTGCACTCTGGGTCCCTTAGCCCCACACTGCTCCCCAGCTGCCGCATAATGGCAGCCCGCTGGTCCCCAAGGGGATGGGTTAAATGCAGAGGGTTAATTTCTCCAGTTTGAGATAAATAAAATTCAGTTATTATTATATAAACTCACAGTATTTGGGACGGCAAAGCAAAAACTAGAGTTTAGGGGACAAAAAGGCGGGGGTAAAACCACGTGACAGACAATTAAGAAAATTAAGAAAATCTAATATCAAATTTTCTAAAATATTTTTAACATTGTTAGAAACTAAACCTCTTTTTATTAAGACGTTTTCTTTGTTGCTGCCTTATTTCAGTTACTATGTAAAAGTCTGGATAAATATGCATTAATGTCACTTACTCCAAATGCTGTACTGTTAAAAACTATAATTAACATCAAACATATGTTAGCAACAAATAAAAAGGAAAACTGTTGTTCAGTTGACAGATTCCTCTGATAAAGCAGCTCAAACCGACTCTGCTCCAGTGACCAAGCAGAGAGATAACAGAAGCACAAATCCAAGAACAAATAGAAAAGCATTTCCTCTCCACCCAGATGTCCTCTGATACTGAAACGCTGCGTTTGCTTCGCCCACCAGTCACTGAATAAACCAGAGCGCAGGGATCTCAGAAGCTCCAACGCATTCAGCTAATGTATGTGCATTTCTCATGGCCCCAGGGAGCCAATCAAAACGCTCCCTTAAGTGATCAAAACGTTTCAGGCTGCTAACGAGACGACCTCGATGGAACGCATCAGCATCAGCTTAAAAAAAGAGAAAACATACCTTTAAATACACAAGCATTAGTAGAAATGAACATTGTAGTACCACTGAGTACGGATGGTTTACTGTCCCCTAAAGCTTAACCTCTGCTCTCCTTTGGAGATGATCCAAATGAGCTTCCGTACCAAACAACACAATCAGCTCAACTTCTAAGATCAGTCGGGACCTTAAAGTCCTCACCTGCCAGCTTTTTGGATCTGCAGCCTTTTTTATGTTTAACCTCAGCTGATGCCAGGAGGATGAAAAACAAAATATGTGGAATTTGATTTTAATGTTTTCCATTAGGGATGCACGATATAATCGGCCCCCTATCGGTATCGCCCTTAAAACTGAATATCGGACATCGGCCACCCCACCGATATTTAACCTTATATTTGATTAGCTTCTAAAGTTTCTAAAGTTT